GGTCTTCGGTGCGGGTTGAAGTGGGGTGGGATGTCAGCTCCGTGGGAAAGAGCAGCCCGGGAAGGAGAGGGCTGAGCAGAGCTGGGTCGGCGGAGCACGGGGCCCAGTCACTGGGAAGGCGCAGGAAGGTCTCCACTGCTGTTCCCAAGCCCAGGGCAGAGGCCGAGCCTCCTAGAGGGGGACCGCCCCTGAGCAGGCTCATGACCTCAGATAAGGGGACCACAGATAAGGGGGTACGGTGAAAACCCAGAATGGGATGAGAGAAGGTAAAGACCATGTGAAAGGCTTCTATGTGGGAAACAACGGGGACTTCGACAGAAATCACAAATATAACAAAATACAACAAAATCACGTTATAGAGGAGAGAAGAAAGGATAGTCTTTAAAAGGGAAAGTCTCTACCAGCTCCTGCTTAAAAATTGCAAGGCAGGAGCCAGCAGGTGGCATGGTGGTTAAGGCGTGGGATTTCCACACGGCTGACTGTAGTCTGAGTCCTGGATGGGCAGCCTGAAACTCATGCCCAGCATGCGTGCATGCGTGCGCAAGATCTCGAGGAGAGGGGATTGTGGCATGGCCGTCTCCCCTGAAGAGTGATTGCTTGCTTTCCCTCTGTCTGTCTGTCTGTCTCCCTCCCAGGTGAGTGCATGTGTCCTATGGCAAAAACCTAAAACAATGAAAAGCGATCCTGACAGGAGAGTGGAAGAGAAGGGAGTCTGGTGAGGATGCACCTGGGGGGTGATTTTCCACTCTCCCTCTCTGTCTCTCCCTCGCTGGTGAGTGCCTGCGCCCCATAGCAAGGAAAGAACAGTGACAGAAGCCGGTGTGAAGGGCTTCGTCCTGTGTGACTCCAACTTTATGATGCTCTGGGAAAGAAAAAATCACGGGAACAGTTAAAGATCAGCAGGTGCCAGGGGTCTGGGGAGAGGGATGAACAGTGGGGCACAGGGGACTGTCAGGACAGTGGCTCTGTTCTCTGGATGACACTGTCATGGGCGGTGCATGTCATCACACAGTGGTCAACACTCTAGAATGTGTGCCACCAACAGTGAGCCCTAATGCCATGCATGGACTTGTTAATAGTATCAGTATTGGTTCACCCATCGTGACAATGCACCCACCGAGGCGAGATGTTGGTAACGGGAGACTGCACGTGTGGGGAGGATCCGGGAATGTGCTATACTTTCTGTCCTATGTGTTTGGTAAATCTGAAATTGCTCTAAAAAAATTAATTTTTTTGGGAGAGATTTTTTTGCTATAGGGTATGTGCACTTGCCAGAGAGACAGAGAGAGATGGATAGAAAGTGAGAAATCACCCCTCGGGGGGATGGCCAGGCTGCAATCCCTTCTTCTCCATTCACCTTTCAGGATTTGGTGCATGCACGCACCTGTGCCCGGAGAGTTTCAAGCTATCAGGTCTGGGACCAAAATCGCAGTCGGCCATGTGGGAGTCCAGCACCTTGACCCCTGTGTCCCCTGCTGGCCCCAAAATACATTAATTTTAAGAACGACTGTGGAAGTTGAGAAGGTGCCTGTTATTGTTGGATCTGTTTTGTGCGTCAGCTGTAGCTCGTGGCAACCAACAGACTGGAGTTGTAGAGCTGCCTGGTCGTTTTCGCCCTTCTGTTTCTGCAGAGCATTCTGCAACCCCCGTGGCTTCCACGGACTCCTGCTGGTAGGACCCCAGGTTCTGGAGTGATGCCTTTTGAATGCAGGAAATAGGCAGACAGTACCTTGGGGTCTGGTAAGTATTATGTAGGCCTTTGTTAAGAGACAGAGGCTGTGAATCACAGGAGATCTCTTGAGAAACTTCTGAGCCTATCTCCTCTGTGCTCCCCACCCCTGCTCTCTGTCTCTAACTCAGCCAGATTCCTGGGGACGAACTCAATCCCCAACAGTGACTGTCCACATGTAGGTGCTCAGTTAGTACTCAGGGGACGGATGGCCAGACAGACGGGCTGAAGGGTACCGGTGTGTCTTCTTAAGACTTTAGCAGCATACTCTGGGTAGTTATTAGTTATTACTGTTATTAGGAAGACTGCCTTAAAATGTCAATATATTGATAGATACAGTCAAAAGATAAGCTGTGTGAAGTAACGCATTTTAAATGAAAGGAATTATTCATGGATAAAAATGAAAATCCAACACTTGCAGATCTAAGAGATGGAGCAGATTTCAAGAATGGGGTAGAGTACCGGTTTCATATCTGCCAACTCCTTCAGGTATGCCTTCACTCTTACACCAGCACAGAGACTGCTGGGTGGAATTATAAATATATATATCTGCCTGGGGCCGTCAGGTGGTGTAGAGGTTAAGGACACTGGATTCCTACATGGTCAACTGCAGTTCAAGTCCTGGACCCAGCAGTCTGAAAATCACACCAGGCGCATGGGTGTGCATGCCCGAAATCCCAGGCAGAGAATGGAGAAAGGATTATGGCATGGCCATCTCCCCTGGGGAGTGATTTCTCACTTTCCCTCTCACTGTCTGTCTCACTTTTTCTCTGGTGAGCACATGTCCCCTATGACAAAAACCTAACAAAAAAATTCTCTCTCTCTCTTTAAATATATATATATATATATATATATATATATATATATATATAACACATACATACATACATAGATGCCTTGTACACTGATTTAAACTGTAGGATTTACTAGAATTCCCACCTAGCTCCAAATCCAGTATTTTTGTCATACTGAGAAGTCAGAAAAACTGGCTGAAAATGAAATATTCACTCAATCAGTATTTTGTCTGCATCGTTTACAAAAAAAGTTTTGAATGATCTCTTCACAGAAAATACCTGTTTTTCTGTGCACATAGCAGAGCTTTGGAAACAAACAAAAAAATGTCTAATAGGTTTTCCCAAAGTGATTGGATTTTCCTCATGCTTCGAAATAAGCTGATCTAGGACAGCAGGAGGAATCACAGATGGTCCCGGGCAACGCAGGCTCTGCAGCCCCTGGGGCGGCCCCACCTTCCCTCCCGAGAGCCCGAGAGCCCGAGAGCCCGCGAACCCGAGAGCCCGCCGCCACCTCCCCCCAGCTCACCTTCATGCCCTGGATGTTCCTCAGCATGACGTCGCCGATTCTTTGGTAATCCCCTCGGATGTGGGCGTTTGAGCGGCCTTCCCTGAGGGCAAAGGCAGAGATTGGCACACTTGCAAAGTATCCATCCGCAGTGAAAGCGTGACCAGAAAGGCCCGGCCTGGACTGCAGAACATCAACCTTTACGTCTTCCTTGCAATCCCCTTTGCCCTCCGCTCTGGATTGCACTTCTCTTGGGGTCACAGAACATTAGTGCTGGGAAATTTCTGACCCCCTCCCACTTTTGTTTTCTTTCAGGTTTTTGCCATAGGGTATGTGTGCTCATTGGAGAGAGGACAGAGACGGAGAGAAGGAAAATGAGAAATCCCCCCCTCCCCACAGAGGAGGTGGCCATGCTGCAATCCCTTCTCCTCCATTCTTTTCTTGTGATTTTGGACACACATGGGCACATGGCCTGGTGTGTTTTTCAAGCCACCATGTCTAGGACTTGAACCTGTGTCAGCCATGTGGGATCCAGTGCCTTAACCACCATGTCACCTGCTGGCCCAAGCCCTCACATTCTATAGCCAAAAGATTCCACTTGTGCTTTTGAAGAGTCTTGACAGAAACGATATCTCATCCTTTTCATCTGGTCTTATTTTATTAATTTTTCTGCCCATGCTAAGGTGATTTTAGTGGCGTTAGATCTGCATGGAAATGGTTCACAAAGCTGATTTTGACACATAGGTGGGTACTTATTGGCACACAAGGGGATGGGACCTGGTGTGTTTCAGGCTGACACACCTGGGGATTCGAACCTCTGCTGCCATTTGGGAGCCAGCCTCTCTTGAGCAGCACACCAGCCCTGTGCCACGGAACCAGCCCAAATCAGTTTGCAACAACCAACCTGGCTAAGGCCTTCACACCAGCCAGAGAACTGGAAGCCAGCTTACACGAAAAGGATGCGTTTTTTTTAAAAAGTAAAAGCCTGGGCACTAGGCTTCAGACCGGAAGTGAGAGAGGCTCTAAGTGGAATAAAACAGCCCAAGGCAGGAGGGACTGCCATAGCAACCAGCCCTCTGGCAATGAGAAGGACCACTTCCACGGGGCCCTCCAGGGCTGCCCTTTATCAAGATCTTCTGATGAATGAGAGGGGTCGAGGATGAATGCTTCATTGGGCAGGAGTAGATGGGGGTGTGGAGGCTCCATAGGAGTAACCAGCTCTTGGCTTCTCATACCAGGAAACCCACTGCCCTGTTTAGTCTACGGCTCCAATGACGCATATGGTGTAAATTACATCGGGGGGGGGGGGGGGGAGGCCGAGAGCACCCACACCTATAAGGTCGTTAAAACGTCTTTTAAATCAAACAAGACAGGGGTCCACTGTGCCCCCCAACCTTCCTGGGTCTTTGATTGGCCCCCCTGTGCTCTTTCCATACGGACACCATTCTCTTCCTTTCTGATAGAGAACTCCGCAATCCGTGGCTTTCTCTGAGCTGCCTTAATTAATTCTAATTAAAACAGAGGAGACTGGCAGGTGGCATGGTGGTTAAGGCATGGTGGCTAGACTTACACATGGGCAACTGCAGTTCAAGTCCCAGACCTGGCAGCTTGAAATCACATCAAGAACATGTGCATGCCAGGAACCAGCAGTTAGCGTAATGGCTATGTCGCTGGACTCCCACGTAGTCGACCGCGGTTTGCGTCCTGGACCCGGTGGCTTAAAACTCACGCTGAGTGCGCATGTGCGTGCCCAAGATCCCAAGAGGAGAATGGAGGAGAAGGGATTGCGGCGTGACCATCCCCCCTGGGGGGTGATTTCTCGCTTTCTGTCTCTATGTCTCTCTCTGTCTGGCGCCCTATAGAGAAAACCTCTCAAAAAAAAAAAATAAAAATAAAAGCACATGTGCATGCCCAAAACCCCAGGAGGGGAATAGAAAAGAACAGATTATAGTGTGGCCATGCTCCTGGCCAGTGATTCCTCACTTTCCCTCTCACTGTCTGTCTCTCTCCAGCAAGCACACAATTTTATACACACACACACACTCTCTCTCTCTCTGCCCCCGTAGTGCAGTGGCTCAGTGCTGTGCATCGAAAGATGGATACCACATGGTTGACCGCCATTCAAATCCTGGCCCTATGGGAACCCGCAATTAGCATAATGGCTATGTCGCTGGACTCCCACGTAGTTGACTGCGGTTCCCGTCCTGGACCCGGTGGCTTAGAACTCACGCTGGGCGCGTGTGCGTGCGTGCCCAAGATCCCGAGAGGAGAATGGAGGAGAAGGGATTGCGGCGTGACCATCCCCTCTGGGGGGTGATTTCTCGCTTTCTGTCTCTATGTCTCTCTCTGTCGGTCTGGCGAGTGCACGCGCCCTATAGCGAAAATCTCTCAAAAAAAAAAAAAAAAAAAAGAAACAAATCCTTGCCCTAGAGGCTTGAAAAGACATGTGGGTGTGGGTGTGTACAGGTCCGAGATCCTGACGGGATGGAGAAAAGGAGAGAAAGGATTTTGGTGTGTTCACACACACTGTTTTAGGCTGACGTGGCCTGGGGATTCGAACTTCTGAGTCTATACTCCTAACCCTCTCCTTCTTCCTGTGGAATCCCTTCCATCCTCCACGGTTCCAGTTTGTGATGCCATGTCTATACCACCACATTCTCTCTAGCACTGACCCATGAGATGAAGGTCTGAGCTCTCAGACCTTCCAGATGATTCCATAGGAAGGACCCACAGGTATCTCGAATGCAAGATGTTCCAAACAGTTCAAGTCTTTGTTTCCAAACCCAATCCTCGTTCTTCATTCCTTTCCTACTGATATAACTGTCTACACCAAGCTGGAAAACTCAGTCACCATCTACAACCCAGCTATCGGCTCAAATTGTCCTCCACTGTGGGTCACTAGGGATTGCTCACCCCGACTTAGACCCTCTCTCCTGTGGAGACCATCCTCAGCCCACCGCTAGCCACACCACCTTATTCACCTCATCAGCTGCGGGGTTGGGGACCTCTGGATTTCTGCCCAATGGTTATCAACCAAATCACTCCCCAGCAGTGTATTGCAAGAAAATCTGTTGAAATTCTGCCGATCCTTACATGTCACGGGGGTTGGCTGGAAATTCGCTGGATGCGCTTCCACTTCCACTCGGAACAGAAGAGGCATTGCACTGATTGGGAGCTTCGGCCTATATGGACGGCCCCTGCTACTGAGACGCACCCGCCTCTCGCCTTCCTCAGCTACTCGGCTCTTGTAAGGGCTGGGAAGGTCCCCTCCTCTCCCAGCATCCTTCACGTCAGAACAAAGTAGATTTTTACTTCAAAGGAGGACCCAGCTACCGAGCCTGAATGACCTGATTTGGACCAAATGGCGCACATCGACAGAAGGAGGTGAGGTGCAATATAAAGTTGATTGTGGATACGCGGCAATTATCTGGAGCTTAAATAACCGACCCCAGACTTTTCAAACGGGCACGCCACTTGCCAACACACAAGAAAGGTCTTTGGCTTCCAGGACGTAATTGAGATCTAATGAGAGCAGTCTGGCATGGGTGGGCCGAGAGACATGGGGAGGGCTTCTGGCTTCCTCTCTCATAACCAGAGGCTTTCTCTCCCTGGGAGATAGCCCCCTCATGCACGACAAAATGAGGTGCTAGAAAGAAGGCCCCGGGGAAGCTGGCGGAGAACTAGAGTGAGAGCCAAACTCCATTCATTTGACTTTCTCTGTTCTTTTGCCAACTTTTTATTGCAAGAAAATCTGTTGATGTTAAAACCCCGAAGGCCAGGGGACATTCTTCCCTGAGTCCCCTTGCTATCGAAGCCCTGTCTCTCTAACCTGTCACGTCTTCACTTTCACATTAGGACAGGTTCTGGGGGCCAGCCGGTGGTGTGGACGTTAAGGCACTGGATCTTCCATGGCTGACTCTGTGGTTGGAGTCCCTGACTCGGCTGCTTGAAAATCATGCTGGGCATGTGTGTGAGTGCCCAAAATCCTGAGGGGAGAATGGAGGAGGAGGGATTACAGTGTGGCCAACTCCCTCAGGGGTAATTTCTCACTTTCCATCTCTCTCTCTTCCTAGTGAGCACATGTGCCCTGTAGCAAAAACTTTAAAAAAAAGAAACAGAAAACAAAAAACAAAAACAAAAACAAAACTCTGGGTTGTCAGCCTTGGTCTTTGTGTGGCAGGGAAGACAATGGTGGCACTCAGGCTATAGGGAGTCAGCGCTGGTGACGTGGTGGGGACAGGCAGGGGGCCTGTGAGGGCCCTGGGAACAGTACAGGCGAACCTGTCCCTCCCTTCTCGGCTGTCCCCATCCTAGCTCACATACCAGGGTACTTCCAAAAGTTCATCGAAAAATGGAACTTAAGTATGAGCTGATTTTGGTACAAAAACATGTTTGAAATGCATGCATTGCTTTCTTCACAATTCACAATTTTTATGAAATTTTTGGAGATTCCCCATAGCAACCCTGCTTGGATGCAAACACACAGGAGCGAGTCCATGGGACTCAAAACTGAAACTCACGTCACCCGGGGTATCTTTCCTCTCTCTCCATGCCACTGACGCTGCGTCTACAGACACAAAGCGTTGGTCTTGTTATGAACAGCTAAGAGGCTACCCGAGTACCGAGAACATGAAAACGGAATGATAACGCCCCTAACATCCGCCGGATGTTTATCTCACATGAAAACGGCTCTCGTCCGGAAGGCTGGGCCACATACTTGTCTGTGTGATTACCACAGTGCAACAGGATGGAACTCTGGACAGCTTTACTCAGGGAATCCACATCATAGTGTCTGCGTGAATGCTCAACTGTGATCCATGCAACATGAAGAATTTACTCCCACATTTAATGACAAAGGATGGACACATACATACATGCACTCACACAGACACACACGCATGCACACACAGACACACACGCATGCACTCACACAGACACACACGCATGCACTCACACAGACACACACGCATGCACACATGGTGTCAATTTTTTTGAAAGAAGTTTTTGCCTTAGAGCACATGTGGTCACTAGAGAGAGAGAGAGAGACAGTGAGAGGGAAAGTGATAAATCACCACCCCGGGGGAAGGCCACACTGCAATCCTT